CCCGGCCACGCCCCCTTTCCACTTGCCGGGAGCTGGGCAAAATTTTAGCATTTTGTCATTAGCGTTTGCTTTCTGAAAACGAGATTGTTGTTTGTCGCTGCGGTGATGGCGGTGGAAGCGGTGGAGGTGGCGGCGATGGTGGTGCAGCAACACTGGTGGTGCGATATTGCAGCTTAATGGCGGGCAAGTATCAGGCATCAAGCAGGAATCATGGCCGGCAGCTTATTTACGACAGCCAAAGGGAGTACGGAGTGCCATCAATTAATGCTGTAGGGCGGCTGCAGCGAACGACTCATGCACTTAATCCTGTTTTCGATTACAAGTCGAATGAAAATAAAACATGAAACTTATACTGATGGAATTTAATTGCTCTGTGCAGCTATAAAAGTGCGAGAAGAACTATTTATTGAAATTATAAAATTTAAACCATCATTATTTAAACCAAAAAAGGCAAACAAATTAATGACCATAGATCCACGAAAAATTTATTTATTTTTTGAGTCAGTTTCAAAAAGAAAAGACACCATTAACCAATAAGGATTCTCCTGAATTTAATGAAAAAAGAAACAAGGATAAGCCAGGTTGGTAAAAAAGTTATGATGCAGCACTAGTGCAGCATCCACATGTGGGTTTGTTATGAATAAGCCAGAAACTTGGGCTTTTGACTTTGGCAGCGCCATAGAGTCGAGTCAGGCAGCCAGGCACGGTTAATAAAACAGACAAACACTCAAACTTTTGCTATAAAAATTTTTAGCGAGTGTGTGGCCGGGGAAGGCTGGGGGATGCCGGAGTAGAAGGAGTTTTTTAAGTTGCCAGAGTTGTTTGCTTGCTAAACAAGTGCTATTAAAAGAGCATAAAAAGGTGGAAGGTGAATTGAGATTGGGAGACGGCTGGGGTATGATGACTGGGGAAGGAGAAGATTGGGTGGTCGGTAGCAGAGACAAAGGCAGTCAGCCTGCAGGCACCGTAAAGGTCCTTGATGGTGGGAGAATGCCCGCTGTAATAAGCCCGGGCAAATCTTCATGCAAACTCTCCGAGCCACAGCGGAGTTTTTATATTTGGCAGCTTAGGTGCACTTCTGTAGTTGTCCTTTCGGCGTCCTTAATGCACTGCACCAAAAAAGAAATATAAGGAACTGGCAATTTCCAAAAAGCAGGGGGCCACAGAAACAAAAGCAAGAGCAACTACATGATGCAGTGAAATTTTATGCGCTTAGTTTTTATTGCAGAATATTTTGCATGCCAGGGCCTGTATAAAGAATTATCCACTAAAACAGCTATAAAGTGAGTCAAGTATTTGTTAAGATGTACAGTCCCTAACTCAAGTGCACAGAACATTTCACAGAAGGGGAAAACCTGAAAAAAGAACAAAAAAAAGAGGAATATTCACTCCACCCTCGTCGTGTTGGTGTGATGCATGAATTCGTGCACCCAATTCCAAGCGCTATGCGATGCGTTTGCGCAACCAACCGGGCGTATGAGTAACATGTGCACTTTATGCATTGTGAGGGAAGGTGGCCGCCTATCCGCTGAGCCTATTTGTTTTATTTATATTTCAGCTCTGTGCCATTTTGTGCGCGCATATTAAACAGGTCGTGGCAGGATGGAAGGCCAGCGGGCAGGATAACAGCCGGATTCGAGGCCCAGAGACAGCTAAAGTGCAAAATGCAGTAAAATATTGAAATTGTACAGTTCCCGTTGTGCAATGAGCCGCAATACCAGCGACGTTTTTGTATTTCCTCTTCATATATTTTTTTTTTATTTCCCATTGTATGGCAGTGCCACACATGGCGGCCGAGTTGAAAGGTGCACTCACATATGGAGGGGGGAAATTTTGATTTTACGTGACTGGCATGGAGTGGCAAAACGAACAGAGGTTCGAAAATGGAATGCGGATCGAATATGCGAACTGGGCGGGTGACTTCGAAGTAGCTTTTCTCTTATTTCCAATTAGCATTGCAAATTCATTTGAATTTATCGCCCTGAAATAATGCCATAGGATCGTGTGGTTGAAATTGGCTATAATTTAAGGCCGTGAAAATATGTGAAAATAGGAACAAAGCAGTGGCAAATTCCGATACTTACTTTTCAAAAAGTCTAACCAAAGTGACGAGTCCTCGAAATAAACACCTCGTTTTAGGTAGCTCCCCCCTTATTTTTCCAAAAAAATTAAAAAGACGAGTCAAAGTATTTGGTTTTAATTTTGTTTTTCTGTTTTTTGATTAACATTTTTCCCATTTTATTTGATTATTTCTCTCTTGCTTGGCTGCAATCGCTGGCAGCGTTGTTTTTTTCTATGCATACATTAACGTGTTTACTGCCACACACTCAAGTGCGCTTGTGTGTGTTTTTGAGTGTGATTGTGGGTGTGTATGTGTTTGTTGAGTTCATTCCGGGGGCTTCGTTCGGTTCGGTTTTGATTGAATTGGATAGGCTTTTGAAAGGCGCTTAACATAATTATGGCATTTTGCTTGCACACTTCCATAAATCTCTTTTTTATGCTGCTGCTTGCTGGTATTATTTTGCTGTCGATTTTGTTATTGCTGCTCTCACAAATGCAATTATATATGTATAGCCGTAATGTGCTTGACTTTGTGTTTCTGGGTTGGTTGGTTGTTTGGGGCCGATGGCGCTATTTAATGATCTATCATATGTCTGAGCCGGGCCCTTGCAAACCAGATGCTCTCGGCAGCCTTTTTTGCAGTCGGCTCTTTACATTTTTATGCAAATATTAATACAATTTTCGTTTTAGTTAGGTTGCCTTTTTATGCGCACATTGTTCTTTTTTTTTAATGTATGAATTTATATATTAATATATATATACTTTTTTTTTTATAAATATTTATATGTACATACACAACATTGAATCATTTATTTATATTTCTTTTGCTTACACCGTAACTATGTATACATAATTAAATATAATTATGCTATTATATATATGTCGTCGAATATTTCTGTTTCTTTTTCCGCATTTCTTCATTATATTTAGTTCGTAATTTTATCATAATTTTCCAACATTTCCAACATATGTTCAGCTACAATTTAATTTAATTTCCATTGGCTCCTCCACTTTAAAGTATTTATATTTATATTTATGCATAGCTTGCTCTTACACACAGTTTTCTTGACTGCTCAAATAACATTTAGTATATATGTATGTATATTTATGTATATATATAGGTGTATATATATAGATTTGTATATATGTAAAGTGATGCATTGCCGATGCACAGTTTGTCGTTGGCTCTCAAAAACACGGTATGCCAAGTTGAAAAAATAACCAGATTTGTTTGTCCGTAACATCTTTTTACTTTCATCACAACTTATAGAAATTAGACTCGCTCTTCATGGCTCCGCTTGACCATCCAATTGAATTCTAATTTTGATTTAGCCATTTTTTAATTTTGACCTACTCTTGCAATATTTTTTGTTCATTTTTCAGTTTCTTTGGTGTGTAAAAAATAGTTTACATTTTGTATTCGTTCTCGTTTTTGTTTTGGTTTTCGCTTTCATTTTTTGTTCATTGTAAATACCATAAATAATTGTGTTTAGGTTTACAGTAAGTGTATAGTTTTACAGTTACACTTATGATTCTTAGCTAAACATTGACTACATTTTATATTTTGCTTTTGCTACACGTTTTCTCTCATATCCTTTTCTAAATATTTAGCTAGATTTGCCATTTGCCCGACCATCTTATAGGTTCATCTTAATACATATACACGATACACAAACACAGATACATGAATAAGTTTCCTTATGAGTGTGCGTGAGTGCGCGAGTGTGTGTGTGTTGTAGCCTCTTTTATGGATATCGTTTAGGATATAATATTTTGATCTAGTCACGGGACCATCTACATTTATATTTTCCGGCTTGATCGTTCGTTCGGTATTCAGTGCATTTTCTACTCGATTTCTGGTGTGATTTTTCTCATTTGGTTTAGTTACTTGGTGCTTAACTCAGTTACTTATACTTTGATATTTCTCTAGTTAATGCTGGATAAACACTCATAATTATGAATCAACTGATTGAAGCTAATGGTGGAACATTTGACTTGCCATTACTACTCGCTAATTCTTAGGCCTATGCACATCGATATATTGGCGAAATGATCATTGGAATGGAATCTATTGCGAAACACATCATGAACAGCTTCAAAGATAGGACAAATTTTGTAAATGAATTCTCAGTCAACGAAACACATTTCTCTTAATATTCATTTTTAAATACTATTTTTCTCCGCTTATTCTACTCTTAAATATTATGTCTTTTTTGGTTTTTCTTCGCTTGTTTTTAGCTTTCTTGTGAATCGTAATTCTTTACTGCAAGCCTTGGTAAATCATAACCACATCCGTTATAGCACCCACTCTATTCTTACTCTGGTATATACAATGTATATGTTATACCTACTAAAATACATTTAGATATTTTTTTGTTTCTAAATTTTATGTTTTTCGCTAAAGGGGTACAATTCTGTTGGAAATGCAGACCCCTTCAAAAATAGACACAAATAACACACATTCATAACTTTGGTTTTGGGTATTTCTGCTTCGGTTTCATTTGATTAGATCAACTTGAATTATGACTATTGCACCTTCCGGCCAGTATTCGCCACATCTGAGCAGCCGCCAAAAGTTGGTTACATTTTGGTTGAATCATATATAAATAGGTGTCTTAATTTTTACACTTCCGGCATGCCATACACCTGGGTCACCGGTGGTTGCTGCTGGGCTTGTTGCTCGTTGTTTGCTACCTGCTGCGGCTGCTGCTGCTGTGGCTGCTGTTGCTGTTGCTGTTGCTGCTGCTGCTGTTGCTGCACCCAGTGAGATGGATAGTACAGTTGGGGAATATAGTGTTGCGTCTGCTGCTGCTGCCGCTGCTGATGGTGAGGGTGTTGGCTGTGTGGTGGCTGCTGCTGTTGCATTTGATGGTGGGGCTGCTGTTGGTAGGGCGGCTCCTTCACGTATTCCCCGGACGTCTGCTGCTCCTGTGGCTGCTGCACCTGCAACAACTGCTGCTGCTGCGGCTGCTGATGTTGCTGCTGCTGCTGTTGCGTGGAATACATGGCCATCCCTCATGGCAGCTACACGAGCAAACTGGGCGCCAGCCACTCATCCTCCGCCAGCTAAGCGATTGGGCACACTCGTTAGGCAACGTCATCAGAATGGAAACTCTTTGATGCAACTCACCTGCGGACTGACCTGGAACTGCTGCATCGGATAGGCCACCACTCCGGTCGCTTGGGGCAGGGCACTGCCCACGCTCTGGGTGATCTGAGGAGCGGCTGCTGCCGTAGCTCCCGCCAACTGCGGCTGAGGCGGTACGCTCTGCCAGGTTCCCGGCAGCTGGACACCCATTCTAAAATAACAGAAATGTATAAAATACATAGTAGAGTCATGCAACTATAGAAAAAAATTAAACTTTTGAGAAATTATTTATAAAACGGGATTCAAAGGAATCAACATCTAGTCAAGGATCTAGATAGGCAACCAAAAAGTTAATTTTTTTTCACAAAAAGTACCAATATGGGTTAAAGCGGTTTTCGGGTTTGAATCAAACAAATAAGAGAAATCTTGTTGTGGGCAGATCTAATTTTTAAAACTTACCCCATGTATCCCGCCTGCTGGTACCCTGCAAATTGACCGTATGTGAAGCCCTGCATGCTCTGCAGGAACTGGCCCGGCTGCAGTGCGCTGGCGGGGGCCGCCGCCGGATATGTCGGAGCCGGCGGGTACCAGTATCCGGCCACCTGCTGTCCATAGGCAGCCGCCGCGGCTGCTGCGGCCGCCGCCGAGCCGAAGGGGAATCCCTGGGCCAGGGCCTGCCCGGCAATGGCGGACATGTGGTTGGGGTCGCCGCTCTCTTTGCCCCACGCGCACTTCACCGGCTGCTGGTTGATCTCCGTGTTGTTAACGGCCACGATGGCGTGGGTGGCGGCCTCTTTGGTGGAGAAGCTATAAATGCACAGAAAAAATATATTTTTATATTTATTTATTGTTTTAATTTTCTATAAAAATAACTTTCAATATAACTTTCTTTCTATCTAAATTTAAATAGCTAGAAGCTATCGTTCTTAAAAGGAAAATATTTTGGGAAGATCCTAAAACTATTTTAAGAGTAAACCTTTGCTTTTAAGCCATTTTAATCTATATGAGAAGTAAATTATTTTCAATCACTTTAGTACAAATCAGGACTAACTGGCATAGTCCTCTCTAGTTTTGGTTTTTCCCTAGTAAGCAGATTGGCCTAGTTTAATTTCCGCTTAACCCGCTGCGGCAACAAAGCGCAAAAGTGGTACAAGCGTCTGTGGAATTGTTTTGTTGTTGCAGGATTGGTTATAATGATGCAGCAACTCTGCCACAGCTGCTGCTGCACTTGTAGTCCCCGAGCTCATTATGTTACAAAATGCCAAACAATGCCTCCTCTCTCTCCGCTTCCTCACTTTCTCCCCGGCTTTCTTTTCCCTTTTCCCCTTTCCCCTTTCCACATTCCTAGTTTTTGTTTCTTTTCTCCCCCCGTTTTTTGCAACACGTTTGCAACACACAAATGAGTTTTGGAGCAGTGCACAAAAGGCGCCCATGGACATGGCCAGCAACTGCAATGCGTTTCTTGCCGGCCCTTCCTTCTCAGCGCAATTCTCGCCTACACTCGGGATATTTTATAATGCTTATTAGTGGTTTGATCTTTAGAGGCTAATCTACTATAAATAAAAATAAATATTAAGTACTATTTTAGTCATGAAACTTTTACTGACTTACTTTATTTATTTACATGATCTTCTAACTTCGAAAATAAAAAAGTGCATCAATCCCTAAGTTGTTCTTTAAGTGCATCAATCCAATCCCTATCTCCTCCTCTCTGGTTGCGGTGGGGTGAACTCTGTTCGTCGGGGGCCAACGGCTGCCATTAAAACCCTATCAGCATTCGTGACGGCAGCTGCGATCTCCACCGCCAACACCACCAGAGCCACCGTCACCGTCACACCGCCGTGCATCTCCAGCCCCACTGCCGTTCCTTGGCAATCTTTTTTACCAACGTTGTGGTGAGTGTGTGTGGGTATAGGTACTTTTTTTGCCCTGCCATCGTCGTTGTCGCTGTTATTGCGGTTCATTGTTCTGTTTGTAACTTCAAATTTGCCTCTCGTTGTTGCTGTTGCTGGTGCACTCATGATTGTTGTTGTCCCTACTTGTATGGTTGTTGTTGTTGGTGGTGCCGAGTGTAAAAGTGTTGTTGATTTATTAACGGCGAGTGCTTTGGATGGGGGCTACCCATTGATATAGCCAGTGTGTGTCCTACGCGTTGACAATGGAAATTCGAATATGAGCCTGACACCGCAGACCGCAGTGCACACAGAAGCGCGAAATCAAAATGGCGGGCAACAAAGGGTTAATATAGGAGGACAAAGGGAAGGGCAGTCCAATCATTTATTACTTTATTATTTGATCGATTGTCATTATGATCGATATGCCTATAATTTAAACCTAAAACAAACTTAAGGCCTACACTAGGGGAATACTACATCCTAAGGCTATCAGCTCATTTTAACTTACCGCACAAATGCGTATCCTTTGTCCTTGAAAACCCGTATCTCCTGTATTGTGCCGTAGGGCGAGAAGGTCTTCTGCAGGATCTCCTCGTTGAGGAATCCCGAAAGAGCCCCGTTGATGCCGCCGCAGTAGACAGTGCAATTGGTGGGGCTGCTCTGATTGTAGACCTCGTCAAAGGTGAGCGGCTTGGCATTCACTGCAACGAGCGGAGATTAACATTGCGATGACAATGGAATGCAAGAAGGGAGGTGGGAGGTGGGGAGCCAGCGGGCTTAGGATTCTGATGGCATGCTGGCGGTACTCACTGTCTGCCTTGGTTGCCGGCGGCTTCCGTGTGGCCCAATTTGTGCGTATCGAGCGCGAGCCCAACCATTGGCCATTCATGGCCGTGATGGCGGTTTCCGCCTCCTGCAACGAGCCAAATTAAATGGGAAGAGCAATTAGCTAAAAGCCCATCGCAATTTACGCGGGTTTGTCTAGCCGCTTAAGCCGCTTACGACGGCTGTTAAGTCTTGGCCAAAGTCTGCCGCTAACACTGCTGCGAGAAAAACCCGAAATTTATAAACAAACAGCTCAAAAAGTGTTAAGAAAAAGCCAGCAGAGCACTCAAAGAAATTTAAAATATTTTAAATGTTTAAATTTTAAGATAGATTTACCTTTTTTTTGGAAACTATTTTTAAATCTCTATCTGTTTAAGCTGTTTGTGTTTTGATGTTGATAAATGTTTTGAATATATCTAAATTGTGTTTACATTTTTAATCTTATATATAAGTTAAGAAAAACCTATTTCCCAGGTTTCTTAAAGTGTCTTCGCATTTAAAGAGAAATAATAATAAAACAGAAAAAAACAATCGCTTCTGTTAAAAAGTTGCTCCTTGTGGGAAGCCGGCGACATTGTTGCTGCTGCTCGGCTGCTCTTTGATTTCCTTGGCTGGCAGTCTTGGGAAAATGTGTGGCTGGAGGAAAGTTGGAGAGCGGAATGGGACAAGTCCTATACGTAGCATTTACAAGGCCGTGCACAAATTATAATTTCAATTTCGCATAAAAGGTAATTCGTGCGTATCAAACGTGATTCATGCCGAAATGATTGCAACTGCCAGAAGGTCTTGCATGCAGCCAGTCTGCTTTCTATATATATGTTTCAATATGTATATATATGTGTCTACATATATACTATATGTGAAGGAATGAGTATGTACAAGTGTGTGTGGTGGGCGTTTCATAGCAATTTACTTGCGGCACACCAAAAGACCGAAGACCGAAACCGAGCGGAGGCAGCTAAAGCAATGCAATAATGGCATTTGCGGCGCTGCAGACGTTGCAGCTGCTCATTGCACGTTCTTTAAATGGCGAAACCCCGAGCCCCGTTTTCCGGACCCGGCAACTTAAATCCGGACCCGGACCCGGCAGCGACTGCGACTGTGGCTGCGGTTGGCAGCAACTGTAACTAGGCATCAGCCACCCAAAAATCCCACCTTGGCACCACCCATTCAATTTTTTTCTTTTTTAGTAGGGTATTTTCTATTCGTCAAGAGGTTAGTTGGAAAAATATTCCGAATCCTAGATGCTAGCTTCTAAAACCATTTGGTCTTGTAGAAGAAAATAATTAATAACTTTATCAGAATTATTCTATGAGGGTAACCAATATTCGTCTTGAACCAAAGCCTCCTCTCGGTATAGTTTTTTCCATTAATTTTCTTGCTCTTTGTGGCAAGCTACGTGCAACGCTCGAAATCAGCGATGACGTGCACTGGCTGAAAAACGAAAAAATTCTTAAACCAGGGTGAGGAAAAACTTTCGAGATTTCCAAAGAGAACATTTTCTGAAGAGATCCTTAAGCGAAAGCATACTACTTTGAATCATATATTCTTGGAATGTAAAGCATAATTATTTATGTGAATCGGGCACTTGTAATATCACTCATACGCAGGGTATACCGTTTGGCAGCCACAATTAGCAATTTTATTTTATGTTAAACGAGCTATAAAATTTAAGTTACATGAGTGCCCGCAGAACGAATTAAACGAGTGGAACATAAATTCTTATGTATTGGTTTTCTGGGGCCTGTAATTTAACCACTTGAGCAAAAGTCAACAATTGAGTGCCTGCCCCGTCAGCGATAAACCACGCAACTGTCGCCCAACTTTGGCCGTAATTTAATGTCTGGATGTGTGCAGTGTGTGGTGTATGGAATGTGTTTGCCCGTAAGGGTAAATGTGTAAGTGTATTTGGCCGCAGTGTGTAAGTATGTGAGGGTTCGCGGGTATAAGTCTCTCCATTTGCGTGCGTGCGCATTTTTATGCATTGCCAGTTGCATTTTTCATATTTGCATAAACTATAAATTTTACATTTTTTAAGCGATACGCATCGTTGATTGCGGCACATACACATACAAGCATACTGGTGCATGTGCAGTGTACACCAACAACAATAATGTCCCCAACGCAACAAGAACGAGTCCAGCAGCAAACAATCCTGGGTTTCCCTGTCGGGCATGAAACTTTATTTAAATATTACACCATTTACATTACCCTGAGCTTTAAGCCATTTCCTCTGAAGAAGGAGGACATCTTGCAGGGTTTATCAAAGGACTCACTTCTAATACAGCTCTTCGATTGTCTATGGTTTTTTTCCTGGTTATCCTGTGCCAATTCCAATTGCAATCGTATGTGTCAATTGAAATTGTCTTAACAAACGCTCGATTTTCCTGTCCAAGTTCGTGTGTGGAGCGAGGTTGGGAAAGTAACTTTGCCGTGGATAATGCAATTTCCAAAGTCCAGACGACACACAAAAACTTGTTCTGGCTGCAACCGACATTTTGTGCAGGGCACTTTTTCCCGCTTTGACAAGTCTTTGAAGCTGACCAACTTTATCAATCATTTTGGCGGTAAATTGCTTAGACGATGCTGAATAAAACCATATGAAGGGTGTAAGAAAGCTCGGCTGTTTCATGTAATTTTAAGCCAGGAAGAGCTTAATTTTTGGTTTATCGGCTTTTGAATGTGTAAACAGCTCGACTTGTTTGCACTATCAAGACGATTATTTCCCTGAAACGTCCCAAACGTCCATCGCACCCCTAATGACTTGATTATAACCCAATTCCGGGCTCAAGAGTCTGTCGAGTAATTTACCAATTCATCTTGCTCAAGTGGCAGCTCAACGACCGCAATATGGCACCCACTACGACTTGCCAAACTATTTATGAAAGTCCTGGCCCCAAACAGGACCCGAATCGAAACCAAAACTGTTGTAGGCTGGATGTCTGGGCTAATTGCAAATCCAAAATCTACGGCCAGCGATGACGACGGCGCCGACGACAATGAAAACAGTTTTCGTTTGGGGCCTGAGCCCATTGGCATTGCCAGTTGGGGCGACACATTTCCTTTGTGTGTGGTCGAGATGTCTTTGGTTGTTGTTCGGTTTGGCTAAATTAATTAATGGTGAATGGCAAATTTGCAGCTAATAGGAGGAAAACTCGAATCGTTTTCCGGTCTGTCGCTGTGACAACCACCAGCACTGCCTACACCTCTTAGTTCTAGTTCTACCAGTTGCCAAATTAATTCGCCTTTGATTAAAAGTTCAACTTGTGCCAGTCGTGAAGCTATTTCTGTTTTTTTTTTTTTTTTGTGTTTTGTGTTGGTTTGGTTTTTGTTCTTGTTCTTGTGCGACACGCGATGGAACAGTTCGCTTGAAAATTTCCTAAATGACAACTTCCGCTTTCGGGATAAGTTAATTAATTTCCATGGACATGGATGGCAGAAAACTTTTGCTCGGCGCGAGACTCAAATTTAAGAACATTTTGCGTACAGATTCAATTTGCAGCCGAAACTTGTGTAAAGTCAACCGAGACTGGGGACTGAGACCGGGGTCTTTTGTAAATATTGATTACTTGATAAGGCGCAGAATCCTTTAATGCTGCGGACCAGGCCTGAAACGGAAATGAGTCCGGTGGTTGAGAATGACTGCGTGGATGGGGGCGATGGGGTCTTCCAAAGTTTCACTTCTGCCAGGGAACAAAACCAAAAAGGCGAAATACCTTCATTAAGCGAATGAAGAAAAGCAAAAGTAAGTTGAAGAATTTTTAAGTGGTTTAAAAGGGTTTTGTCATACTTTTCATGTGGATCTTGCCGGGATCGACCCCTTTATCTTGTCCCATACCCGTTCCCATTCCCACATAGCCATTTTCAGAGGCCACAAATGAGGGCAGCATGCTACTGGTTTTTTGTGTGTATATATACTTGTGTTGTGGAAGACAACACGGTAAGCCGAGAGCAAGACATTTTAAATGTTTATTAAAACAATAAGGAAATGGTTTGTGCCAAACGGAAAAAGGCAAGACGGCAACGGCGGAAAAGGAAAAACTGTAGCGAAAGAAGGTGAAAAAAGGCAAACTCAAACACAAAAAGGGGATAATCCTCCCTCACACAAACACGGACCCCAAGCCAAAACCCACTGACACATTCTGGTAAAATAAGAAGGTCCCAGAAGCTCTGTATATTCTCTTCTTTTTTTTGGCAACCGTTTTGTCTTGAAAAAGGTAGTAGACACCAAGTATTTAGTGCTGGCCCTTTCCTTCCTCGGCTGAAAGGTTTTCCTTTCTGGCCAACTCCTAAGCCGGTTTAGCTTTGTTCTTCGGTCAGATTCATTAACGTGCCTATTTAGATAAGCGTGAAAATATCAAGTCGAGGAGCCCTGCCAGCCCCAAGTTGAATATTAAAGCCGAAGGAGATAAAACTTCCGCAATCCAAATGCCCGAACAGCGAGTTCCTCCCTCCTTCTGAGTTCTGATGATGATTTTTTGATATTTATAAAATAACTCAAGTGGCAAATCGTTTGCCCAGTGGAAATGCGCTTCCATTTGTTGACTTTCGGCAGCCAGACTCCGGTGGTGATGATGATTATGATGATAATGATGTGAAACCATCGAACGGAGCAGATAAGACGCCAAAGTCATCCTGCGAGTCATCTTCGAATCGGCTGTCTGGCCCAGTCAACGGTAAAAACTGTTTTCCTACCGCTTAGGCCCAAACGCTTTTCGATTTTTGACCACACATCAAAACGGCAGTGGAGGGGGGGTTTCGGAGTTGTTGACCAAAAAATCAGTATTTCACGCTAGAACGAATTTTTGTCAAGGCATAATTCCATGGGATTTATTTATGTATGTCAGTTTTGGGCTGTTTTGGGAACCCCCAATCGGCATCACTCCTCCCATTTCCTACCATTTCCCCCGAAAAAAACGGAATGGTTTTTTTATAGTTACTGCCTCCGGGCTGCGGGCTTTTGGCTTATGCGTGTGTAGGCTGTTTGTAGTCCGGGGTGTTTGTTGTCCCTACATGGCCCTCAAATCACTAGTTCCTGAATTATTATGGAAAGCATAAAATGAATGTCCAGGCCATTTATATTTATAACCAAGTTTTGTACGCTTCAGCAAATTTATGGCCCGGCTTGAAATTAAATAAATTGAAAACCAGGAAAGTAACTTTGAACAGAGATCGATTCAAGCTTTAAGTTTTCTTTGTTAGCCAGACATGACATTCGTTACAAAAGGTTAAATCCATTCCTCTGGTTTATTGATGATGTTTCCCATATTTTCGGGAGCCGCATGATGCACCGTAGCGCAAATTAGGGCCAATGTATGCGGAATGCTTTTTAATTTAAGTGCACATACACATGACAAGGCATTCAGCATCCACGCAGCGGAATCATAAAAGAAACATCAGAACGGGCGGCCGGATGGGTGGCTGTGGGCGGGTCATGGGTGGTTTGGGTTAACCACAGGCTTTCTGGGTGCCGCGACAACAGTAGCACAAGCAGCAGCAGCAGTAGCAGCAACGGCAGCGACAACAATAAGAACAAATGATAATAATGCAACAATGAACTGCACAAGAAGATGATGAAAAGAATGTGGGGGCGTGGCCGGGAAGTCGACATTATATCTTGTTCGCTGCACACATTGTCAATTCGTTTTCGTTGTCGTCCTTATTTTCACATTTTTTCTTGATTTTTTTTTGGCTTTCCTGCCTTGACATTTCTGTTGTGGCAACTTTTAAATAAATTTAAGTGCATTATACAACGAAAAATCTGTCAGCCAAGAGCAAAGGAGCCAAAGGAGTAATACGATTAAATGCATCTCTGGCCCTGAGCCTGCCTTTGTCTCCATAAAGCTGGCAAATCAGTTTTGTGTCAGCAGACGAGCCACTCAAGATGCAGGCTTTTTAATACTTATTTTGTAGATATTTTTGCGATATGAGTGTGCAATAATATGTTAATGTTCCTCGGATGTGTGACAATAACAGGAGCCGTCGACGATGTCAGACATTAGCATTACAGTTGGCAAAGGAAGATGCACCAACAAAAAAATAAACTAAGACAACAATTAAAAAGTGAAAAGACTCAAAAATAAAATACAGCTTTTAAGAAAGAAGTTCCTTTAACAAAATTATGATAATAAGGAAATTCTTATTTGCAAAATCCATTTAAAATTTTTCGCCGTGCAGGAAGATATTCCATTTTTCCCTCCACATCGACATGTTTATTGCGTTTAATGTTTGCGTAAATTTTTTTGTACTTGCTACCGCTTCTGGTGCCCTTGATGCTGCCATTTTTGTTGTTGTTGTGATTTATGATGCTAATGACACGCAGACAGGCATCGTCTTCCCAGCTCCTCATGCAAATGCTCAGCTTGCCTTGATGGTTATTAAATTATGGCAATTTGTATGCGTCGCCAGAGTGCTGGCAACCCAAAAAAGGAAATAAAAATAAAAAAGAAAAGATTTTGGTGTTTATTTAAAACATGTTGCCAAACAATTTGCGTTAAATATCTTTTGGGGAACTGCTTGAGATGCTTTAGCATTAGCTTTCAAAATTCCCAGGCGATTGGCAAAATTTCATGCGCCGGCAACCGGAAGTACTGAATGAAAGAAAACGGTTTCTTTCTTTTCCGGTTTGCAGACGGGAATGCACCCACATCTATGCTCGAGTGCACTAGCCTTCGAGTGTGCGAGTGTGTTTATAGTAAGCTATTCGAAAAATAACTTTTCAATTTCCGCAAAACCACAGAGAAAATATCAACTTTGCACAAAAATTTAATAAAACTTTTCGCATAAATAAAATTTGCATTAAATCAGCTGCAAGCGACGCCGGGCCGGCACAAGGCCAAGGGGCGTGCCGGATTAGGGCGTATGAGTATTTGTACGAGTGTGCCCAAAACGCATGTTGAGAAACTTAATTTGAAATATTTGAGTTTGCCATTTGGTCTGTGTGTGTTTTCCGTCTCCTTCCGCTTTTCCGCCTTTCCTCTTTGGCGTTTTGCATCGAAACTAATCGAGAAAGTTCGAAAATTGGCGCCCCATTCCCCTGGCACGGCTCCTTTTTTTGAATCGCAAAAAGTTAACTAGTTAGCTGGGGTTGGGGGAAAAAATTAAGTATACGCCACATTGGCCATAATTCCAACTAAAACAAGTCAGTTGCCAAACGGCTCTGAGCAGAAAGTTCGGCTTTGGCTTAAATATTTGTGTATGTGTATGTGTGGGTATTTGAGTGACAGAATCTGGCAGAAGCCCGCCCTGCTTAGGGGGCGTGGCAAGTGGCAAAAGGCAAGTGTCAGAGATTATGTTGTATTTGCACACGACACACTGCTCGGCACCTTTACAAATCCGCGCCCATCTCTTCGATGTCAAACAAATCATTGGATTGCCTGCCAAATTATTAGGCCGTGTGTCTAACGCACATTTCATGGCATTAGCATTAAAATTTAATTAATAATTTTGAACGTTTGCCGCCTAATTGACTAGAAGCCGGCACCTTTGGCTTTTACGCCTCTCCTCACAGGAGTCTGGCGCATCGATTTCAGGCTTAGAACTTGGCTTCTACCAAAAAGTTCGAATACATCCGTGTGTGTTTGTGTGAGAGTTAAGCTTGCGCATTTTTTCTGCTCGACTGACTGACACGCCATTCGTTTGAAGCAACAGAGCCAGTGTTTCTGCGTTTCCAGGACTCTGTGTCGAATTTTCTACCTATTAGGCACATGAAATTCAATCACAACACCCTCACAGGCAGAAAAGTTATTTGGACCCTTATCAGTTGCGGTTTAAACATATTGAATATGATGTGTAAATGTTAACAGAGCCCCAAGTAAACACAAGGGTGGTTTTCCCTTTTTTTCCGTGAGAATCGATGCATCTGCGGCCATAAAAAAACATTACAGATTCGTGAGCCTTGAGCCTTCAGCCGGTCGGCTGCTTTTGATATACGAGTGTGTCCATGAGGAAGAAAATAAAATCAGATACTTGGCCCTTGGCTGTTAACCGGAATAAGCAAGAGACAGAATGCATTAAATCTCAAAAATGTGTGCGGTTCGTTTGGCTTAGAGCTTTTCACATCTTAAAGAAAAGCCAGGAGCGGGAGTGTGTGTGTGTTTTTGGTTTGGGAAAGTTAGACCCATCCACAGGTGTCTTTTGTACGTTACCGGGTTGACAGCCGGGATTTCAGCTAAACTTTCAACTTGTTTTAATTAAGATTTCATTCGACAAACCCCCTCTGGTAAAACACAAAGATATGAGCAGCTTCTTTGTGTGTCTTTACTTAGAAAATTAAACTTGTGTAGCGACTAATGCGAGTTTGATTGAAACATTTCTAATTGTTGCGGAAATATGGCGCTTTGATGTTCCAAATGTGTTGGCATAGCTTACCGATTTCTTGACAAAGCTGACAAATCCATAGCCCTTTGATTTCAACGTCTGCGGATCCCGGACCACTCTGCAGTCTCTGTAAAGATAGAGAAAATAAAAGTGTTTAATCTCGGTGATTCATTTCAGCTGCTTAGCGGAAAGAAAAACAATTAAAATTCAGCTTTGTATAATTTATTTAAGCAATTTAGAGTTATCTGCTAAGGTTTATAGTGTTCTGACCCAGCAAAGGGATAAGAGCCAAGAAAAAGGAGCACACAAATGAGTTTTCGTGGAGACCCATCGCCAAATTAAAAAGCCAACGCTGCCTGGCCAAGTAAAAGTCAAGAGGCAAAGTCGATGTCGACATTGGAAATCCAATAGAATTACGTGTGAGGAAATATGAAGCGTTCTACAGGAAAAACCATCGCCGAGAAAGGGATTTCGTAATGGAAGTGCAGATAGTGTGCAGGCCACCGCCTTCAAGGATGTATCAGTGTGCACTCTGGTAGGTAGGGGGGGCGTGGCATGGTCGAGGGGATTTGCCACAGAAGCCCATCCAAAGCCCCTCCAACCGCCAAACCACGTGTCGTGCCATGTCGTGGACGCTGCTCGAGAATCGGGCGTCAGCATTGGGCTTAAATATGTTGGCCCGTCTAAGCTAAGCCACGAAGAAATATTTAACCCCCCGCCCAAGTGAGTGTGTGTGTGTGTAGTATGTGTGAGTGGGGCAGCCACAACAGCAACAACAATCTGCGCCATAGCCACTAGAGGCTACCAGAAAGGACACTCTTAAAAATATCTATCTTTATGCACAAAATTGGTTTTCCATGTTAGGAGATTTTTTATTTGAAATCTGCTTTTGTTGTCAGATGTATACTTAATAAATCTTAATTATATAAAATTTAAAAATCCTTTTCAATATCTGTATTATTTTTCCAAGTGCAGCTGAAGCCAGAAAGGCAAAACCCGCATGTCGGCCACGGCATTTAAAAAAGGCCAACTTGATTGTAAATCACGATAAAAGTCAATTTTTAATATGAGTTTTAGTTTAGCCCCATGCCCCATACCCCCTTTCCCCTCACCCTTCAAGTTAAGTGGCTGGTAAAAAAAAAGAAACCTATTTTAATGGCCTTTGGCTCTTTGGCTTTGGTGGCGCTTCAAGGTTGCAAATTTATGGCTGGGCTGGCCAGAATCGAAATTGCAGTGCGATTGCCAGCGAGCGCCAGTGCATCGAGTGGCACATAAATATCGAACAAAAAACATATTTAATTAAACTTTAATATTTATTAGCTACCATAGGAATTCAACTGCAATTGCTCGGGGCCACGTCTCCGTCTGGCCTGGTCATGCGAATGGATGATCTGGCTTTGGTTGTTTGGCGTGGCGGTAAAACAAACAGCCAAACACGCAAGCACCAGCACATAAAACAGGATAAACAGGATTCACAGATACATAAAATACGGTCTTATACATTGGGCACATTTAACAACATTCAACTAATGATGTAGTTATTAAACTACATTTTCCAATGGATTCCTCAGAATTTAAAGAACACTAAAATATTTCCATCTTTGGAATATACAAAATAATATATATTTTCCAAAATACTACCTACAATAGAGAGGAATCTCTCCCTGCTACACAGACCTTTTGTCTGATGGGGCCGTTGACTGCCAATGCGATTGGGGTAACAAATTAAAGGCCAGGCCAATATGTGTACATGGAGTATGCACTCCCTTTGAGAGCTCCCCGTCCTGCACCTCACCGCCCTCCAGAGTATATCATATTTCACAATCGATAAACATCACAGTTCATATTTTCATAACGTTTTTGTTTGAATATTTTAACATGCAGACACAACAACACGGCAGCCGCCTCTGGTGTGGGGTGTACAATTTCCGGCTTGCATGTAAATACGAATTCGAAAATGTCTGCAAGTGCTCCTCGATTCGTCCTGCCCCGCTCCATCCTGTACCCAAATCTGCCTCTGCTTCTTCGGGCTGCAATAATATATTTGAACATTTAACAGAAAACAAACACAACCTTTCGCCTCAAGCCAGGCCAAGCCGGCAGATTTCCGTGGAGGAGCATCGATGGCCCTTAGACTGCGTTGCCACACACAGTTGTTATCATGCACGAAAAGCTGGTAAAATTTCTGGGTATGGAAAAGGGGTTGCACTATGAGTATCTATGGGATTTGGGGGCGTGGCAATTTTGCTCAATGTTTGCGCAAAGAATTGAGCGACGAAGTCGATATACTTATACATGAAAGGATGCGGGAGAGGACCCGGTATTGGTAAATATACGATTATCAAATACCCTATAAATTACAAATTATTGTTGATAGTTGTTAAAACTATTAATAAACTTTCAAGAATTATACTTCATACACTTTGCACTTCTGCACAAACTTTTCATATCAATAGCTAGAAAGTAGGAGCAAAGCTCTTCAAAGGATGAATGCATCTGCCTGAGTATGATCTGCTCTTGTACTGGCAAGTGTATAGAAAACCATGAGACCGGACTGGACCCTTTGCTGCACCCCGCTCTCGGCTCAGGCCAATCAATATATTTTTTACAAATATTGGCAAAAGTTTTGCCTTTGGCTTAAGCTCTGTGCCCGATACTCGAAAATAAATTTAACCAGAAGAGAAAGAAAATATTTTGCCATCTTAAGTGCATAAAACTATAAACGTTAAACAAAATATTTCGCACACAGATACACAGCCACACGCATACAAATGTGGTTATTTATACTGCATATTTTTTTTGGCTTTATTCCCAAAGCCTTTGGCCCGGGGCTCGAGTAGCTTTTGGCCCGATCTGCTGCTGTGGCTGCTTTTTGGCCAGAGGAATGTTTGCGGTGCTCGCTGAGCGCATTAGTTGCGGGTCCTCCGCTATTTGGGCCCTTGCAATTGGTTTATGCCAACAATGCAGCAGCCAAGCCATGTGTTGGAAATTCTTTTGTATTTGAATTAAAATTGCAAAGATGATTTATAGACGCTTCGAAGTTTCGTGTTCGATATAAACTTATGCATGAGATTTCTGTGGGCCACGAAAGTGAAATGCATATGCGAAATGGGAAATGCAATCCGGGCTCACAGGCTGGAGCTGGAGCCGCAAAATGTATTGTTATTGCCAGGAGACAAATATCTCCCAATATCACATTCACTATTTTTGGAATAAAATCAAGATTTTATGAATATCAAGTGGCTGATTTCGGTATTGATTTCCAAATTGTGGGTGAACAAATGCTAAGGATCAGTAAACCATTGTGTTGGAAATATAAAACCTTGATTTCTCATTATTGGCCAATCAAATATAGACATAAGGAACTGCACTATCATTGAAGCTTTCCGAGAATAAACTGGTGAAATATTTATTAAGGCGTTACGCTCATACGCAACTCGCAGTGACTTAACCCGCAATTTGCAATTTCCTGGCCACTTTAAGACCCTATCTGCCATCCATCGCTCTCTTGGCCACACACACTGGGCAGACATATAATTTACAAATCGGGGAGATCGGAAATCGGGGCTGTAGCATGCTAAACACATCAACAGCAATGGCAAACACAAATTACTCAGCAGTGCAAACAAATGAAAAGCGATAACATCGCGTACAGCACAAGGCAGAATCGAGAATGTTGAGCTGAGGCGAGGCGAGGAGGACCGGAGCCAAGTCAAAATCCATGGCACTAAATCAATGAATTGCGGTTGTCCTTCAATTTCCTTTTGGCCCAGTCAGTAAGCGAGAAAGGAATTGAGTTTGAATTCGAGCTTGGCTCATCCAGCATTCCCATCATCGTCGTCATCTTCGTTGCCAGCCATTGACTTGCGTGTTTGAAATATTGAAATATTTTTGTTGGCCATGTTTACACATTTGGGCTATTGACTGCACACAGTTACGAACTAGAGTTCGAGTGCTAGCATTTTTTACCATTCCAATTTCTGTCGGTTTGAATTTCCCTAGCAAATTTTTCGCCAAACGTCAAGCGCCGAGCGCCGAGAATTTTTATTCGATTTGTGTTTGTCTCGTACTTGCACTTTATTGGCTTGCTCGGCGCTGATAACCCTGATGGTTGATGGCTGCCAACGATGATGATTTCCATTTCCTTGTTCTCCGCCGAGCGATTGGTTTGGGGGCGTGGCCCTCAGATACTCAGATACTTCTCCGATCACAGACGCCCCGCCATTGCCCGTTCAAATACCGAATACAGTTGTAAATTCAAATGAAATGCAAGCGAGCGCATTGTTTGAGTTTTGGAATGAGGCAAAAAAAAAATACGAATAAAAAATCAAGGTTTCGGGAGACGGGGGCTCTGAATCCTGGCTTTTTGGTTAGCCAAATATTTAAAGTGGATTTCTTGGAGCATTTTATGAGTTTTTCATTGCGGCTGCGTTGATTTATTTGATTTGATTTTCCGGCCAGTGGCATCTGCTGGCCAAGAGAATTAAGTAATAAATTTGGTTCAAGGAAATATGTATGAATGCGGTTGCCGAAACGAAATGGCTCAAATGGAATGGCTGTGAATTACAAATCCGTAAACGTCGCATCTTCGACGCCTCATTCACTCTACGGAAATGGAGAAATGGGTAATGGCAAAAACCGAAACCAAAAAACACAGAAAAAATTGAGAAAATCCAGGGCCCATCACGTCCTTGTCCTTGTCCCCTTGCCCAGACATCGTTACATTTATTTACACCAACATGCAAAACTCGCATTGAGACAATTTCATGCTCATCTGCATAAAATCAATTCCATTTTGGAGACAATTTGAAGATTGGAATACAAATTTCGAATTATCAACAGGGGACCCAGCCGGGGAGACGTGGCAAAATGGCCAAGCCGGCAGCGATCGCAATCAGCATTGAAACCTCTGTTACTTTTTCTATCCTGCAGTGGAAAAAATTTTAAGTAGGGTAAGTATGGTAAGGTTTCTTTTTAATCTATAATTAATAAAATAATAATATTTATGACATTTTTTTTAATGTGGTATGAAGACAAAATTAGTTCTTAGAAGTCACTGATTTTTTCAGTAAAGATATTAATATAGATAAGTTAAGTAATTGTAATAATGTATGCTAATGTCCAGTT